GAGGAGCGAACTTCAGACGCCACGAGAGCTCTTCCCTATGCCTCTCGCTTACAGCAGGCTGCGATCCCGCAAGCTGCCAGAAGGTTTGCAAAGTCTTTGATTCTTTCTAACTCTTGCAGTCAGGAATGCATAAAAAGCAGCTCGTGCAAAAACAACCAGTTATTATTATCATCAAGCCCTTCAAAATCCCAGGGAAATTTCACAAGGTCTAGATGAAGAAGTCGCGTCCCCATACCAGACACCAAAATGTCACATCGCATTGGCCGACTCTCGTGGAAGTTGTCAAGCGAGTGGCATTGCGCATCATTTCCAATTCTCTTTGTGCGCGCCGGCTCCTCAGATGCTCCGCTTTCTTCTCCCCCGACTGACTAAACAGACCGCATGCTGTTCTCGCCCTTCCCACCATCCGAACCTCCCCGGTCGAGCTGGCGCAGTTTGAAGGTTGTGAACTGCGTCGTTGCCCCTCTGGCTCTGCCCCGTATGGGAGCGTTCGTCTGGATAGCGGGAAAGGCCTCTGCTTTGCTCTGATGATTTGAGGAGCCTCATTAGCTGCAGACAAATGAAGAGTCAGGTGAATTCTTACTCCGACTCCTAAAATACCGTTTTAATGCATAATATATGTCCAGGGGTAAATCTCTGTTTTTATTTGAAGGTAGGCAGAGTGAGCTGCTGCATTTTAAGTGTATTATTATAGAAGACAATAAATGTGCCGTGTGAATGACATGTCTAATGAACACACCGAGAAGAGAAGAGCTGGCACCTTCCCTCAGCTGTGCTAGCGCAGCCTCCGTTGGCGGCATGGAGACTTTTTTTCTCCTGAACATAGTAGTGACAAATTATACGATCGATACGGAGGCTGATCCATGTTCTAATCTCGCTTAGCCCTGGTAAGCCCAGAATTGATCCAGATCCTAATCTTGCTTATCCTGGACAAACCCAGGAGCAGATCCAGATTCTAACGTAACATATCCTGTGCAAATCCAGAGTAGCTCTATTGATTTCCCTGCGTCATCGTTCCAGTCTCTCATTGCTGCAGAGGGATTTATCTGCGTTATCTGCCCCTTGATGTGTAACGCAATTGATCTGGTCATCTTGATTAATTCGGGCTAGTTAGTGCCTGGCATCTCCTTCTCCGAGATTGCAGTGCCCTGGTCTGCCTGTGGAGCAGTGGGATTTTTGCACGTAACACTGGTATAATAAGAGGAGGAGATTAATTTCTGACTGGGAATCAATGCACTGTCAGTTCATGTTTCACCGAAGTTGTGCAAGTCGTTCAGCGTTGTCCAAGGTGGTGATGAAGCTATGGATGCAGTTTGTGTGAACGTGGTTCCTGCTCCCATCTGAAGCTCTCCTCGGCCTCGTCTGCAGCCCTGGAGGTCTTCTTAGTCACGACGTCGGCGAGGACAAGGGCCGTGACGGCTGATGGTCTCCTTATCCTGCTGTTTGCCGCTGTTCTGCTGGATCACCTGCTGCCTGCTCCCACCCTTGCTGTGGGGATGGCGGAGTGGGGGTCCCTTCCTGGCCACCCTGGAGAGGTGATAGAGGACATTCATTAATATCTCTGGGGGGTTAGGTGGTAGCAGTGAAACGCGGTTATGGGTGTTAATGGGAGGTAGGTCTGCTAACGGCACGAGCCAGCCAGGAGGGCTTCTGCTCTGGGGCCTGGCCTGCAACACTAATATCTTAAGAAAAGAGAGGAAGAAAAAAAAAAGCAATTACTTTCTGGGGTGGAATTTCTCCAGCCTTTACTCAGCCCACTGGGGAATTTGTCAGGAACATGTACTGCAGTTTTATTCAGCTATTTCTGAGTAATAACAGCACAGGGAAAATGGCATGTCTCGCAGCTTGATGTTTTTCTGATGTCCTTCTTTGCTCTCAGGTTAAAAAAAAAATACCAAACCCCCAACATCTCTCTTTAAAAACGTAAAACTTGCCCTTAGCTTAATTCAGTGAAGACGCGAGCAGCTACTCCTGCATCTCGGAGAAAAGAGGCCTCGTGCTATTAATATGTCAAAAGAAATTGGATGTAGAAATATGAAGGTCTCTAGTCTTTAAAGAGCGGCGCTCGGTGGCTCTGGCTGGGGGCGCGCGGACGCGCAGCGCAGCGCCGCGGGATGCGGACACGGGCGCGAGCCCGGCGCTCGGATCCGCTTCGGCGCGTTGCAGTGACGGGGCTGAGCTTTGAGCCCGGGCATCCCTCGGTGCCCCTAACGGGCTTGAAAAGAGGTTGGGGAGGGCCCTCCAAGTTACGAATGAGTTTTTAAGGCTACCTGCAGGTATGCTGTCAGAGGGCCGTGCCGGGCGATGTGCGCCCCTGGAGACCTGACCCTGCAGGCTCCAGGCCCGCCTGGGGTTACCGCTGTGTCTGCAGCCTGCATCCAGATTTTGCAGAGCATTTTGAGCGAAAAAGTGCATTCGCAGTGTAAATATAACCCAGAGGGTTCTCAAACACTCCAGAAACGTTCTCATGGGCTGTTTTCCCCCTCCTTTCCCTTGCATGGGAAATTATCCCAAATTCATCCAAATGTGCTTTTCTAATCAAACGGGCCGCTTCGTATTTTAGAGTCTGAGGAGGAAAAAAAATCTGAGCGCAAATAAAGCCCAACCCCTTCTCGGCGCTGCGTTCGCGAGATGGCTCTCCCGTGGCTAAACCCATCTGTGTTCCTTCTTCGGCGTTAGCAGGAGGATCTTCCCGCTGCAGCTGGGCACTCCGCTTCACAGGCTTAGCTGCGGCACGAGGAGGCTGCAAACGCTGGAGCAGCCCGGGTTTCTATGGCAGTGCGTGCAGCAGCCGCTCTCCTTATCTTTCCAACTTGATCGGGAGAAATTGCTTTTGTCAATTTTAATTTCGGCTGAGCTGAGCAGGATAAACAAAGGGAGGTGCAGGCGAAGCAGATGGTTTGTCACAGAGCGCAGAGCAAGCGGGGAGACTGCAGCTTTTTATAGCACGTAATGGCCTTTCCTTGTGTCTGTCTATCCATCACCACATAATTCCCGAAATAAACGGGGCTTGGGCAATATATGTGCAATAACCAAATGTGATACCAGGTCTGGAATATTTAATCCGCAGAAGTTTTGGCAGTGGTTGGCAGCATCCATGCAACAGCCTGCGGGGAGCCTGTGTCCGCTCCTCGGTCAGATACCCCTGCGGTGGCCGGCGGGAGGGTGCTGCTGCCGTGCCCGGCCACGTGTCCGGCGGGTTTCGGCCCCTCGGTGCTGCGGGGCAGAATTTCTTCCGCGGATCTGCAGACGTGGCAGCAGGTCTCCTCCGCGGGTGACCGGGATGGACAAGGGGTTTGTGCTTCGCCACACGTGTCTTATCACAGCAGCTAGGGCGGCCGAGGACGAGGCGGTGCGCCGCGGCAGGGCTCGGGGAGCAGCAGCCGCACCGCTTTTCTGCTCTGTGCCGGGTTGTGATCTCACCCGGCTCTTGCGCTCTCGGGGTACGGCGCAGCCTGGCGAATATTTGTTTCAATAAGAACCATGCTGGTGTTTGCAAATGTTTTTAAATTGCTCTCAGCAAGCACTTCTACGTCTGGAGTTTTGCTCGCAGGAAAGTCTGTAAAAGGGGAGGTCTTGGGCATGGCGGTCGGGGTCTGAGTTCTTGCCTGGTTTCCATCCCGAAAAGCGCCTGTGCGGGAGGCGCCCGGGCTGGAGGAGGGACGTGCCTCATCTCCGGTCCGAGTGACTGCCCATCTGCCTACCTTTGAAGAGCAGGCAGTCCCTGCACTGAAATATCCCCATTAAAGCATCCCTGTGCAATTTCAAATAATGAGCAAATATGAAAAAAATCAAAGTATGTTTGAACTTCGTTAATGAACAGAAAGAAGGCTAAATGTTTCGAATAAACTGTTTGCTGCGAATATGCAGAATACCTAAAATAGCTCTGGCTTTTCAAGTTCAGGTTTCTGAAAGTGCCTTAAGCCACGAAATCTCAGTGTATTAATAACAGCTATAGCCAGGTCCTGTTGGCCAGAACTGCTGTTGGCAGCTGCAGTTTCTGGAGAGCAGTGACAGCTGTTCAAAACTCCAGTGAGTTTGTTGCATTTCCTTGCACAGGAGCATCCCTGGAGGGGTGGGCAACGGCATGGGGGCAGCAGACGTGCGTTGCTGGCCTTGACAGCGGCAAGGCAGGGAAAGTAAAGACACGGCTCCAGATGTGGAAGAAAGCGGAGTTTAAAGGAGGCCTGTCTGAGGGTTGATCCCCGGGGCGAAGCAGCACACTTTAAAGAGGACAGTCCCGGTGGCATTCGTGCGCATTGCAAGATCCCTATTTATTATTTATTTCCTTTTATTGCAAGATCCCTATTTATTATTTATTTCCTTTTGTTTGTTGTTTGCAGGAGGCTGAGCTGCGGCGGGCTGGCCGGG